ATGAACGTTGCTCTAATCTTTTTGCCCACAAAACATAAAAGTACCGGAAGGACACGTTGATCACTGTGTGGGGGTGCGCTACGGGATCCGACAAGTATTTTAGAAGTTATGGTCAAAAAACAGATTTATTTTTATCAAATTGACGATTTTCAAGACGAACGACTTAGAAAACCCGAAATGCCGGCTCAACTATCGAAACTCTATACAAATACGCAATTATTGCAAAAATTAAAATTCCAAAAATTTTTTAAATAGAAACTTACAAGGTCTGTGAGTTTTTGTTTCGATACTTTGCGCTCATTTTTTAAAATTGCATTAATTGAAGATTTATATAGCCTTTCGATATTCGAGCCGGCATTTTGCTTTCTGATAGTCCGACATGGTCAAACTCGTCATTTTCGTAAAAAATCAAACGATCCGACAAGTATTTTGGAAGTTATGGTCAAAAAACTGATTTATTTTTATTAAATTGACGATTTTCAGGACGAACGACTTAGAAAACCCGAAATGCCGGCACAACTATCGAAACTCTATACAAATACACAATTATTGTAAAAATCAAAATTCCAAAATTTTTTAAAATAAAAACTTACAAGGTCTGTAAGTTTTTGTTTCGATACTTAGCTCATTTATAAAAATTGCATTAATTGAAGATTTATATAGCCTTTCGATGTTCGAGCCGGCATTTTGCTTTTTAAAAGTCCGACATGGTCAAACTCGTCATTTTCGTAAAAATTCAATGTTTTTTGGCCTGTACGTCGCCGAAAATCATCGGATTGCATCGCCAACCCCTCTAAATAGTTGATATCATTCAACCCCAAATTTTATCTTTTCTGGATTAAATGATTTTGAGCCATCTTTATTTTTAGTCATCTAGAAAAATCGAAATCCTTTCAGTCAATATCAATTAAGAATAACTAATCTTCATGAAAAATGCTGTTCAGGTGGACGCGCAGAGGAACCCCATCAAGTACACCGCAGTGGAGAACAGAATCATTGAAAATCAACATCAAGAACTTCATCATCATTTTTTTCTTATATCCTGTTTTTTTTTGTCCAGTTACTTACCTCATCCTTAATTTTTCTGTTTTGTCTAGCTACTTAGCATATCCTTTGAATACATTGCCGGCATATTGAGATTTCAAGTTCGTCCATCGTCAAATTCGACTAATTCGTCTGAAAATTATCAACTATTCACACCCAAAAAGTCGCTATACGCTGTAAGTTGTCATTTTTCGACTTAGAGACTTAATTTTTATGTTTTTGTCTAGCTTACTACCATATCCTTTGAAATCAGTGCCGGCATTTGGAAATTTCGAATTCTTCCATCGTCCAATTCGACGAATTCGTCGGAATATTTTCATCTATAAACTACCAAAAGTCGCTATACGTTGTTAGTTGTCATTTTTCGACTTAGAGACTTAATTTTTATGTTTTTGTCTAGCTAA